GCTATGCAAAACGGTGTCATTGTAACCGTGGAGGCAATGCATAACCACATTAGTTGCAGAAAGTTTTCGAAGGGCGGCAGGATGAACACATCAACTGATTGGAAAAAAGAAAGAGATGGCTATCGCCTTCGAGTTGTCTTACGTGAATTGTTATTATTATTATTATTATTATTATTGCTCTAATGGTCTAGCTGATTTACAATTAAGCATGTGTACGAAGACATTCCCTTCATGTTGATGTTATATTTCCTGAATTATGGTCGAAAAATCTATGGGAATACAAACTGTTTAGTGTTTTACATTTCCGAAAGACAACATGTACGTGAATGTCGAGATCACCAAGTAATTGAATTAGACTTAGGTGCACGTTAAGAAATCACAAATCGTCGAAATTTCTGAAGCACTCTGCTACGGCGTTCTTTATTATCATATAGTGGTTTTGGGATCTAGAATTCTCGAGATTATTACATATAGTAGTAAGAAATTGAGTTTTTGTTGGCTCTAAAAGATTAACGAAATTTTTTATCATTGTGATGTGTTTTGACATTAGGACACGCAGTGGAAAGTCTGCGTACTTTGATCATCAGAAATCCTGGTGCATGTTGTCATCTTAGTCTCTATTGCACACCTGATGCTAAGAGACATATGCTTTGCAGGTCTAATGTCAATCTAGTGACTCATTAGGTGTGCATTAGCTGCACATTAGACTCAAAATTCATTTTCATTAGGGCAGTGCAAGGCTACACGAAGAAAGTTGTGGTCAGCGTGTGGTTTTTGTGTGTCCGTTTTTCGACCGACTACGTGTGGTCTGTTGGAAAGGAGAAAAAAAACGTTACGAAGATTTGTGTCACACTGTGCTCCCCATTCCACTGTACAGAGTGCTATACACAGCCTGTAAGGGTGAGATTGTGCTTAAACAAGTTAAAAAAATGCAGGTAGCTCCAAATTAAAAAAAAACGTTTCCTTTTAAATTAGACACCGGAACACTTCCTCTAAGAGCCTTCCTAGAGCAGCGTGGTTTTTATATGCCATGGTTTTTATATGCCTATCAAATTTGTAACCAACCAGAAACAATTTACCACGTTTTCGTACACTCTTGGGAAGAGGTATACTTTGCGGATGTTTTACAGAGGACAATTGAAGAAGAATTTCCGTTCACCGCTCCCGAAATCAGGTATTTTGCAATTGAGAATGATGATGGATTACCTTTTCATTTATACACGATGACTTTTTTGCAGAGTATATGGTGTTCTCGAATGGCTGGGTTTCACGGCGATCCTAACAGGAGACTAGCAAGACAGTGTTTTAAAGAAAGTAATTGTTCTTTCATGCTTGTTGTGTATTGTAATATATTGATCTTGTCCCCCCTTGTGTGAAGTTCAACCAGAAGTGAAGAAAAAAAAAAAGAGCCATGGCTCTCTGGTGGAACTTGTACTTGCTACGCAAACGACCCGGGTTCCATCCTCAGTCGGACCCGAACAATCTGGGTTCTATCCCCACTGGCACCCAGGATTTTTTTCATTTCCATCTTTCTCGATTTTGTGCTCACACAAAAATGCTCAATATTTTGCTCACAACCAATGACGCCGGAATTTCTGCGAAACAAGCTCTTCTTTAACGCTATCGCGCTGAAAACGTTAGAGGATGGTTGTGGTTCACCTTCCAAGAATAGAATGCAATAGCGTAATCGCCCCCCGGGAACGACGCCTTCAACCGCTTTGTCGGGATAACAGTATTGAAAAAAAAAAAACGTCGACGTATCTGAAGTTCTAAGTTCCCATTTATTCTAAAATGCATCACTTTAATTTTTGTTAATTCTTTTATCCCGACAGAGCCACGCGTGCCCTGCACGAACTCAGTCAGCAGTACTCTAAGCCTCTCGTGGCTTCATGAGAGAGGTTTAAAATTTGCACATGAGATCTCTTCCAATGGTTCGTCGTAACTTTTACATGTTACCTTGCAAATCGGAGTCCAGCGGGCCTGCATGCTGCAAAAAAATATGCACCACGAACGCAGAAAGGGCTTACGCCATTTGTTTCTGTGCAATCAAATATTGTGAAAAGGGTTGCTAGTTCATGCCTTCATTCCGCGCCAACTAAATTGTGTCCGCGTGCACGGCACGACAGTTTTGATAATTAAGTTAGCAGGCCTTTAGTGGACGCATGTCCCCAGCAGTGGCTGACAGTCTTCTTCAGAAGATCAACAATGAAGGAAAACGTGGTGGCATGTACCGAATACCTGCTGTGTAAGAAGCCCATTTTTGCGCCGTATATGCACAAGGTTGACCATAACATAAAAAAAAGTGGCAAATAGACATGGCGTCCATGTGGTCTTTACGGCACCTAGAAACCTTTCCGGATTATGCTCTAGGATAGGTGCAAAGGAATCCATACGCAATAGTTGCGGAATCAAGCATCGTCAAATGCGCCCCGAAAACGGTATATGAGATACCGCTAAAATGTGGAAGGTCCTACGTGGGCCAAACGGGCGCCGCGTTAATGAGCGCGCCAAGAAGCACGCCTTGTCAGTCGTAAGTAGACAAGGAGCGCATCCCCTGAACGTACTCGCCGGCCTGCCGCTTGTGTGGCAGCTCAATCGCCAACTATGAGCACATATTTTACTCCTGTCCGGCACACTTGTCCCCTGCCTCTTGGCACCTCAGAAGTCCGCAACAGTGGGAGGCTGCTTTGTCCAGCACCAGGCCAGACCTGCAACTTCGGCTGGTGACTCGGGCGGAGGACGTCGCGGCTAGGCACTGCCTGGACGCCACAACCGGCAGCCGGAAAGCCGCCCACAACACTGCTCTTTATTTTTTATATAGGCCTTATGACGAATAATATATATTATATAGGCCTTTTTGGCCTTATTACGAATAAAGTTTTTCACCACCACCACCACCACCACCACCACCACCACCAGCCCGCTCATTGTGGTATGCGTGCTCCACGTGCAAGCCTTCGCTCAAAAAAAAAAAGACAAAGATTTTAGGAAAGAGCAGCACGAAGGTGGCGCGGGAACTCCTGAAAGCGTTTATCATTAAAGAGAAGGGTGATTATTGCGTAAGTAGCACTCCGGTCAATCCATATAAGACAAAAGGAAATTTCCTGCGCAGGATTTGCTTGACATGAGGTGTGCATGAATCTTGCTTAACACATTTCCCTGTGACGCTTGAAGTACCTTATATAAGCTGTTTCAAAAACGAATGAACCAGGTGATATTTTGCACACTTCATGTCAACTTCGTTTTTCCTGTGTTCGTCCGATCTTCGCGCGCATATTTTACGATAAGACATGCACCAACTGGCTTAACGAGAGGTCCTTCTAAGATATATCTCTCAATCTGCGTTGCTGAACGCGGGGGTCGCTTTCGTTGGAGGCCGAACGCTCGTGGCCCACGTACTGTGCTGTGCCAGTGCCCGTTAAAGAGCACCACATGGTCGAAATTTCAGAAGTCATTCACTACGGGGTGCCACATAATTATAAGGTTCTAGGAGATAAATCCCCAGATACTATAAATATTATTCTCCATTGCTGATTTGAGTGATTTACATGTAGGGTTTAACGTCCCAAAACCACTACATGATTATGAGAGACGCCGTAGTGGAGGGCTCCGGAAACTTCGACCACCTGCGGTTTTTTAACGTGCACACAAATCTGAGCACACGGGCCTACAGCATTTTCGCCTCTATCGAAAATACAGCTGGCGGTGCTGGGATTCAATCGCGCGACCTGCGGGTAAGCAGCCGAGTACCTTAGACACTAGACCACCACAGCGGGGCTAATCTCCATTCCTCAAAATATGGTAATAAAGCACCAGACATTGGCTCATGCACTAATTAAAAAAATGATAATTATGCATTGTTCGCGAGCCGAAATTTGAGAGCATTTATAATCAGTGAAAGCTATTTGTAACTCACCAGTCACCTTAAAACACCATGTTCATTGTCGTGATAGGCCGCCCCATACGGGCATTTCAAGAGCACAAACCGGGAATGCGGGCGGCTGGCGTTCACCATGTCGTTTTCATACGCTACCTGTTCGTACAAGCCCTTAGTATCAATGCTTCTACTTGATGTTTTCTTATTGGCTCGCGTTTAGACCAGTTGCGTTCAGAGTCATGATATGACTCAAAACATTGCATTGTATGAACCAGCTCACCCATATCAACGTTTTCCAGCAAAGACGAGCTACGGGCCCGTATTCATATCACCTCTTTTAGATATAGGGTACGCATTCCCTGATGTTTTGTGGGTAGCATTTCCCCGTTGGTCTGTGTTGTGGCACTCGCTATTCAAGATATAGCAATAGGTGTGATTACGGGGCTATCATCACAGTGATGTCTAATCAGGGGCAGCGCTACGCCAGAGAAGTTTGTTTAACAGCGAAAGTGTTCAAGCCGAAGGGAGGTTAGAACGTTTATTGTGCGCAGAAAAACCTCGCCGAACGCAACTCGTCTGGGAGGGGGGGAGGAGGCAGCAGGAGGAGGAGAGTTTAGCGAGACAAAAAAATTTCTTCGCGAGGTGGGATTCAAATCCGAGTACCTTTAATCGTAAAGGAAGCGTTGTAACAACTCGACTATCCAGGCATGCTATAACACGACAAGCATTTATGGGAACCATATGACAGCGTTACTACGGGCGAGAGAACGTGAAATTATCGAAAATAGGAGAGAAAAAAACACAGAGACAAGAATAAAAGGAGATAAAAAAAAGAACCAAAGTGAGATAAATAAATAGCGAGAGAGAGCCTAACTTGGCTTTCCCAGGATTAATTGCCCCTCTCTATGCTGACGTATTTATACCGAAGTTTTACGGGCTATCTCTTGGCTATATGCTTGGCTGTTATACTAAGAAAGGTTTTTTCAGGCTTGGCACAGTGCAAAACTGTCTAATTTTGTTCAGAACATTAGCCCAGCACGGGCCTTGTTCCGATTCGCGAATGGCACGGTGCCACGGACACACGGAGAAACGCTTTAAAATGTGTGTACCTTTTCATTCGCAGCCCTTCAGCAGAAGCTTCTTGAAGATGAGCGCTAGCCGTTCCTCGAGCCGCTGGCGTCGCGTACTGATGCCGCTATTGCTGCTGCTCGCGCTGCTCACTGCGGTCCCCACGTGCAAGGCCACGAAGTTGCACAAAGTTGCTGCGCTGGCTGGCGCCTACGGAATCGGCGCCGGCGGACACTTCTTGGGTGGCCTAGGCCTGCTGCATGGCTTTCATGGTCTCTACAACCACAATTATGGGCATCACCATGATCACCACTACGAGCACCACGTACCATACGCCGTTCCGGTGCCGGTTCCAGTACAAGTACAGTTAGTATCACGTGTATCCATCACTTGTACTGAAGTCATCACGGGTGCATTACAGTCACGTCATAACGAACAAAAGTTATCATGTCTATGCCATATGGCACTTGATTGTGCGTATACTCGTGGTCTAGTGCTTATGGTACTGGACTGCTCACCCGCAGGTCGCTAGATCGAATGCCAACCGTGGTGGCCGGATTTTCGATGGTGGCGAATATGCTTGAGGCCCGTGTGCTTAGATTCAGGTGCACGCTAAATAACCCCCGGTGGTCAAACTTTCCAGAGCCTTCCACTACGGCGTCTCTCATAATCATATCGTAACGGGGTCGTGATAACGACGAAGGGAGCAGGCGGTGGGTCGAAGATCAAACTGTTTATTCAGCCGAACTTGTAGCCACGATAAAGTAAATTGAGATTACAGCGAGACACTGGCACAAATATGGGCGAACTGAGCGTCGGTCGTCGATGAACTGCCAAGTGGCGAAGCGTGTTGGCATTTATACACTCGCCATCGAACATTCTGGCGTTATCGCTAGCCGTGACGTAGATTCCAGAACAATCTGAAATGCTCTCGACTTGGGCGTAATCTCAATAAAATGATCTACGGCAGCCCTGGAGCTTCTCGAATATTGTTGGCGTGGTTTGCGCTGAGAATCGTGTACAGCGCAACGGAGTGATTAGAAAACTTGAGGAAGGAGCGTGGCATTGCCCCCCTCTGAAAAAGGCATCGTCCCGATGCTTTAACAAAAAATGAAAGTGCAATAATAATGTAATAAAGTACAAATAATAAGTACAATACAGCAATAATAATAACAGCAATAAAATACTCTTTCAGTTCGTTAACGCAGTTCACGAAATAGCTTTAGGCGCGCGACATGGACGACTTTAGGTCGCGATCGGCGCCGTTGAGAGTTCGTAATGTCGTCGGGGACAACCTGGTAGTCGAGTGGGCCGGGACGTCGTACTACCCTGTATGGTCCGAAGTACCGTCGCAAAAGTTTTTCACTGAGTCCACGTCGGTGTATCGGCATCCATACCGAAACATGTTCACCGGGCTGGTATTCCACGAAGCGTCACCGAAGATTGTAACAGCGGCGGTCGGTCGTCTGCTGATTCGTGATGCGCAGGCGGGCGAGTTGACGAGCTTCGTCAGCGCGCTGAAGATAGAGGGTGACGTCGAGGTTTTCTTCATCAGCGACGTTAAGCAGCATTGTGTCGAGCGTCGTTACCGAGTTCATTCCGTAGATCAACAGGTACGGTTGCATCTGCGTCATCTCTTGCACGGCCGTGTTGTATGCGAAGGTCACGTACGAAAGGATGGCGTCCCACGTCTTGTGTTCCGCGTAAATGGCCAGCATGTCGGCGATTGTCTTGTTTAGCCGCTCGGGGAGACAATTTGTCTGTGGGTGGTAGGCGGTCATGCGGCGGTGGCTTGTAAGGCTATGTCTCAAGATCACTTGAGTCAAATCAGCAGTAAAGGTAGTACCTCTATTGGTGATGACAACCTATGACGCCACGACGAAGGACGATGTTCTCAACGAAGAACTTGGCTATATACCTCTTTGGCGCTACCTTTGGGTAGGGCCTTCTTTCTGCGTAGTGGGTGAGGTAGTCAGCAGCTACGACGATCCATTCGTTTCCCGAATTCGACGTTGGACACTGCCCCAGTAGGTCCATCCTGATTTGTTGGAACGGTCGGCGAGGTGGTTCCATCGGCTGAAGAAAGCCTGCTGGCCTTGTCGGCAGTGTCTTGCGTCGCTGACTGTCTCGGCATGTCCTCGTACACGTAATGAGCGACGTCGGCGGCAAGGCGCGGCCAGTAGTACCTTTCTTGTATCCCCGTGAGCGTGCGGGAAACACCAAGGTGTCCTGCCGTTGGATCATCATGCAGGGCATGGAGGAGTTCTGGCCGCAGAGCTGAAGGTACTACAAGAAGGTACTTGACTCGAAGCGGCGAGAAGTTCTTCTTTTGAGGAAGACCGTTTCGCAGCGAAAACGACGTAAGTGCCCGTTTGAATACCTTCGGAACAACGGAGGTCCTGCTCTCGAGGTATTCGATTAGGCTCCCAAGTTCCAGGTCAGCCCGCTGGCGTTCAGCGAAATCGTCGGCAGTTATCGTTCCCAAGAAGCAGTCGTCATTCAGGTTTTCGGGCAGTGGTGGGTCGACGGGGGCTCGCGACAGGCAGTCGGCATCGGAGTGTTTTCTGCCGGACTGGTAAATGACGGTAATGTCGTATTCTTGAAGTCTCAGGCTCCATATGGCAAGGCGACCTGAGGGGTCCTTCAAGTTAGCTTGCCAACACAAGGCGTAGTGGTCGCTCACAACTTTGAAGGGCCTGGCGTAGAGGTAAGGATGAAACTTTAGCGTCACCCAGATGATGGCAAGGCACTCTTTTTCTGTTGTGGAATACTGCCTTAGATAGCGACCAGCTAGCGTCTCTAATAACCATTTCCAGTCCATCAGTTCTCTGCACAAGGACGGCGCCAATTGATTGATTGATTTGTGGGGTTTAACGTCCCAAAACCACCATATGATTATGAGAGACGCCGTAGTGGAGGGCTTCGGAAATTTTGACCACCTGGGGTTCTTTAACGTGCACCCAAGTCTGAGCACACGGGCCTACGACATTTCCGCCTCCATCGGAAACTCAGCCGTCGCAGCCAGGATTCAAACCCGCGACTGCGGGTCAGCAGCCGAGTACCTTAGCCACTAGACCACCGCGGCGGGGCGGGCGGCGCCGAGTCCTACGCTGCTTGCCTCAGTGTGCACTTCTGTTTCGGCGTTTTCGTCAAAATGTGCGAGTATCCGAGGCATCTGCAGGCGTCGTTTTAGTTCTCCAAATGCTTTCTCCTGTAGGGTTTTCCACTTGAACTCGACGTCAGTCCTCGTCAGTTTAGTGAGTGGCTCGGCGATGCGGGCAAAGTTTTTGACAAAGCGCCTGTAATAGGTGCACAGGCCGAGAAATCGACGCACAGCCTCCTCGTCGGCGGGCGGCGGAAATGAAGCGATGGCGGCTGTCTTCTGCGGATCAGGTCTTACTCCGGACTTGCTTATCACGTGGCCCAAGAACAAAAGTTCCTCGTACGCGAAGTGGCACTATTATGGCTTCAGGGTGAGTCCGGAAGTCATCATGGCTTGAAGCACAGCTTCAAGGCGCCGAAGATGCTCATCGAAGCTTGAGGAAAACAGGACGACGTCGTCCAAGTAAACGAGACAAGTCTGCCCCTTCAATCCTGCCACCACTGTGTCCATAACGCGTTGAAAAGTCGCAGGTGCTGAGCAAAGACCGAAGGGCATGACCTTGAACTCGAAAAGGCCGTCTGGTGTAATAAACGCAGTCTTTTCTAGGCCTCTCTCGTCTACATTGATTTGCCAATAGCCTGTCTTGAGGTCCATCGATGAAAAGTATTTGGTGCTGCGGAGTCGATCAAGGGCAGCGTGTATTCGGGGGAGAGGGTATGCGTCCTTAGTTATCTTGTTGAGTCAGCGATAGTCAACGCAGAAGCGTAGTAGTGTTCCATCCTTTTTCTTCACTAACACGACCGCTGACTCCCATGGACTTTTTGAAGGATAGATAATGTCGTCGTAGAGCATTTCGTCGACTTGTTTCTTTTTTGGCTCACGTTCTCGCGTCGAAACTCTGTATGGACTTTGACGGAGTGGCCTGGCATTTTTTTCTATTACGATTCGATGTTTCGCGACAGGGGCCTGTGGAATTATTGATGACGACGAGAAGCAGTTCTTGTATTTTAGGAGCAAATTTTCGAGCTGCTCTTGTTTATGCGACAAAAGGATCGGATTAACGTCGAATGCTGGTTGAAGGGTTTCAGTCGTCGCAGTAGATTCGGCGGTATCCGTGAGGGCGAAAGCCTTGTTGGCTTCCAGTATCTCTTCGATGTAGGCAACCGTCGTGCCTTTGCTCACGTGCTTGTACTCATTGCTAAAGTTCGTGAGCATCACTCTTGCGTTTCCTCCTCGCAGCTTGGCTATTCCTCTTGCGACGCAAATTTCGCGGTTGATCAAGAGGTATTGGTCAACCGGGTTGAGCTAGTGTAGGGCCGGCGGTGAGGTGACATGTAACGGCCAGGTGATGGCGAACAAGAAGATCCTCGGGGTGTCCACTGTGCGGCTGCAAGGTAGTCGGCGATGTCGCGGGGTCTTCCCCCCCCCCCCCCCGTCCGCTGTGGACGTGGCGCATCTACGGCAAAACCACGCAGTCTCATCTGACGGTACTGGCAGCGGCAGTAGGTTTGGCCAGCTTTTTCGCAATGGTAGCAGAGAGGTCGGGGGCACACCACACGTCGGTTTTCCTCGGAGCGTTGCGCTGACTGGCGGATGGGTGGTATGGCGTCGGTGGCGGCAGTGGCTGGTGGCAAAACTGCGACGGTGCGGCCTCTTGACGTGGACGTGAAGGGGGAGCGTAGCGTCGGGCTGCAGCATCGTAGCTCATCGCTTGCGGCTGAGACTGCGGAGCTTCGGACATTCCAAGCGATTGCCGAACTTCTTCATGCACAATGCTGGCGATCGAATTAACTTGAGGCTGCGGCGAATATAATAGCTTGCGCAGCTCTTCCCGTACAATTGCTCGGATTGTCTCGTGCAAGTCGTCGCTGCTGAGGGCATGAGTCTCGGAGTAGTGCACTGCTGAGGAGCGGCGGTCATACTGCCTTGTACGCATTCCCAGTGCCTTCTCGATTGTGGTAGCCTCAGTGAGGCTACCACATCGACCGTCTTCGGTGGGTTGCGCACAAGCCCCGCAAACAACTCTTCTTTAAGGCCTCACATAAGGAATCGGACCTCCTTGTCCTCAGCCATGGCGAAGCCAGCGTGGCGGAACAACCGGGTCATCTCCTCGACGAAGATTCGGACATTCTCGTTGGGGAGTTGCACACATGGTCGCAGCACGTTTCTTGCAGACGACGCTCATGAACGTGCGGAGAAACGTCGTCCGAAATACATCCCAGCTTCGCAGCGTAGACTCCCGGTTCTCGAACCACGTCTTTGC